ACTAACACGGGATACCCACGGCGATTGTTCAGACGTTCTTGACATACCGGCTTAATGCCGATTCTTTAGGTGTGTTTAAGTAATTTTACTAACACAGAACCTCCACAATTCGAGCAGTCTTAGCGATACTGGTATTTACTGGATGCCTAACGTTCTAGTGATTCTGTTGTTTTCAGAAAGACCTGCATTTATGATCAAATTATTTTTTCTTTTACTTTTGTTCATTCATTTTCTTTCAATCCAAAGATTGTCATGGATCTGAAAAATATTTTACTCTGGTATTCTGCGCAGCCGTTACTGCGTCGTTTTTCCATTCTGCTCAATTCTGAGCTCGCCGCATCCAGAAACCGTTCTATGCCGGCATTCGAGCGGATTCTTTTCACTCCATTTGTGACTTTCTGTGCATATGCTCGAAATGACGAAATATTGTCAGTAATAATTAACGGCATTTTACAATGACATTGATTTTTGATCAGGTTTTTATTATCGTAATGTAAGCAAGGCTTTTTACTATGCCATCTTGGCCAAGAGAGTATCTCTTTGTTGTGACCGTGGCTGACCTGGCAATAAAGAAAAATTTATTGCCGCCGTTGATTCCTTGAAAAGTTAAAGAAAGCGAAGGAAAAAAAAGATGCGAGAATCGCAAGTTTATAAATGCTATTGGGAAACGCCTTATCACTTTTGACGATCAAAATGCATGTGCAGATGAAAGCATCGTGGGAATATATATGATTTACATCAAGCTCTGCGATTCATTTATTCGTTTCGACCGCAAATTGGCACTGGCATATCCCAGAGAATCAAAGCCGCTATCAACTTGTATGCAATCCTTGTGGGTTGAAATTTTCATCCTGCTCCCAGAGCTTTGCTTCTTTTAATACAACTAACGGAGGCAGTCCGCGCGACTGAAAAAATTCAAAAAGTTCCCTGTTACTTCAAAAATCATCGACGACATAAAACAAGTTTTTCTTCGATATTCATCGAAAGTGCCGTAAAAAGAGGTGCGTGGTTTATACTTTAAAAAAAAAAAAACTTAAGTGTATCATTAACGATGGGACCAGGATATCCATGCACAGATGCACTTTCACCGCATCTAACTCAAAAACAATTATAAAACAACAATTGCAAGAATAACTTTTACAGAACCAAGAAGAAACAAAAATATGCAGCACAATGCAGCAGCAGTTGGTACCTGATTTGTACTTTGAATACAAACAAGGAGTATAAACTTTGAAGATACTTTGCTGTTCATAACCTGGTTCTTCAGCTAGCAAACTTTTTCATTTGTTTTGACCAGAGCTACAACGCTTGGTGGTAAACCTGCTGGAGATCTTGATGCGCGTTTTTTCCGAAAAATCTAAATTTCTTAGTTTTCAATAATCTCTTCAATTACCTTTGTTCTTGATAGCCTGAAAAATAATAATCCCCTAAAACAGCTTAATGATTCCTCTGAAAGAAGCATTTGGCAAGGTTTTAGCTGTTTCAAAACGTCACTGATTCGTGTTAAGCACCAAAATTTCGTTAGGCATAGCCACTTTTAAGCCAAGATGTGGTGCTTTGCCAGCTGAAGAAGCAACAGCTGACCAAGGTAGCAAAGTAAGTACAGTAAAAAAGGTTGAATTTAAGGGTCGTTCTAGAGCTTGAGGCGTGAAGGAAGTAGTTTAGAACGGCATCAAATACTGAGTGAAACAACGATGTGTATGACGTTCGATAGGACAGGAAAGCGATGAAAATGGTAGCTTTAAAATGATGTGAGCCCAACCATCCGTGATTTTTGAAGAGATTTTTTGACGTAAAGATGACGAATCAAGGATGATGGTGAGCCGGTATAATGATGAGAGCCAGAAGCCGAAACGAGACCTAGCCGTAGGATCGCGCGATGAGTGATCCCGCTTATTTACCATTCCTCGTCCAAGCCACAGACACTTTTTCGACGAAGCAGGCTGCTGATTGTTATTAGGGCACCTTACAACAGCAGAAAAATAAATAATAAATAAATTGCATCCTGTAAGAAGTACAAGAAAGAAAAATAAGAAACCAGAAATAAGAGCGATGGGAAAGGGACTAAGAGAAAGAAATATGATGATGATTTATGTTATTGCAGAGCAGGCTCTATAGTACCACACAAGGACTTTGTTAGGACAATACTGGATCTGTAACAGCTGCAATATCCCTGATTAATGTCACGACTCGTTTTTCAAAAAATTTCTAGTCTCTCATTAGCTGGGCATTTTGTGTACTCAAAATTCAGGCGCATTCGCACTTTACTAGTCAATCGCTGTGAATCATTGGATTAATCCTCTGTAAACCGGTACATTTTTATGACAATTACTTCCAAGCACAAGTATTTATTAGCATTTCTTATCTGCGCCTGGTGTCCGGCCTCAGTCTTATCGCCGCTCCGCCAGAACATCGAATATGCTAGCAGTTATTGTGTAAAATTTTTGCTTTCTTTTTATTCTGAATAATAAATGGTATTTTGATGAGCAGTGAATCGTAGCATGACCTCACAGATATTTAGCAGGCAATTTTTTGGGTTGCTCTGACCAACAGTGCATTCAGGTTTGTGGTCAACTAACTGGCGATTCTGTCATTCGTTTTGTCTCCTAAAGAGACTAGAAGATCTACAATTTTCTCGTCAGAAGCAATTTTATTATTTGTGCATAGTATCCAATGCTCCTCCCGCCTCCCCCCTCTCCCGTTCTCTGACTGCTATTATCTTTAAAGATATCAATCATTGCGCGAAATCCAGAGTTCCTTCAGCCTGTTTTTCAAGCAATCCTTGAAAGCAATGATTTTTATCAGGGTTACTACTTGCGGTGAAATTTGCGGGTCCATCGGATGGTCGATGTCGCGGAAGCCTTGAGAGAAACCGGCACGCGTTGAAAAGGATGTGCTGTAGAGAGTAAACATGAAACCGATATACATACAGATTATAGCTGCTCCAGGTGGGGACTAATTGAAGGCTTGCGAGTCAGGATCGAAGGATCTAGCGTAGCCATGAGGGTATTCCAACAACACTATTAGGGCCCCTTACCCATTGCTCGAGCAGCCCTGGTATTTTTAGTGTTTACAAGTTAATGGTTAAATTATCGAAGTTAATGGTTAAATTTACGAAGTTAGTGGTTAAATTTACGAAGTTAATGGTTAAATTACCAGAAAATAAATGATTTTAATGAAATCTAAACGTTCTTTTTGCATTTAGAATAGCCATTTTATTTGGAATTGCATTCAGCGTTCCAGCAAATATGCAGGTTATAGAAATTCTGCAGTCTCCTGGAATCACATGTAGAATAGAGGTAAGTTCTACAATTATCGTATTGTAGAAGTGTCATTTGATAGATACTGATAATACTGCTGAATTAGTACAGTGGTGTCCAAATATCATTTCTTATTTATCAGTACAAGGAAACTTTCTTTTCAAGATTATTTTGGTGATAAACTGGTGCTTGGGGGTGATTTAAGTATCTGTTTTCAAGAAATCCCCGATATATTTAAACTGCTTTAGCCCGGATATCCTACTGCAATTTATAACAGTACCTTAAAATAACCGTAATTCTGTATTATCCATGTCGCATATTTCACACGAAAATAACAGGAAAATTTTCCCTAGAAATGATAAAAGATCTCGAGCTTTCTTCAAAAAATGGTGCGGATTTTTCCTATAAAAAGGTAGCGCATATACGTCAAACAAACGAAGAGTGGTAACGGAAAGTGTGCGCACCAGGATCGAAGAGCCTGGCGTAGCTTCCCAGGTGTATGAGTAGAACCACTGAAACCACCCGCACTCATTGTCCGCGAGGCTTAGGAGCGAAATTGATGGACTGGGGGAGAAAGGTTTGAATAGCACTGACCGGTGTCGGATGCCTCCTACCATAATCCATTCCCAACCGATGCGATCATGCGTTCTATGTAGTTCTGCTCAACGGAGTCAACAAATTCTCGCCTGCGATTTCATGCATCCATCCGTACGTGAGAAGTAGGCATGTATGAAAAACAGATTTAAGTTTCTAGGGCAAAAAAACACTGTCACGAAATTTCATTTTGTCAAGCTCTGAAGTTAGAAAATTTGTCGCCGAAATCTTCTTGTGTTCGCAGTTGAGAGCAAACCTCGAAGATGAATTTGAATTTTCAGGGTTGTATACTAATGGAGAACTTCATTCTAAAATTTTCGCTTCTTCTTACCTCGCTCACAAGTAGAAAAATTTTCTAAATTTCATGTTTCTGCATATGAGTCGTAAGCGCATGTGAAAGTTAAATTCAGATTTATAAGGTTTTACATAGGCAAGAAATATCCTCCTGAAATTTTGTCTTCCAAGATTTTCTGGTTACCGAGTTGAAAAACTGGAACAAAAATTAGAATTTTAAACACGCAGCCAATTTGCGATTCGTATTGTGGAACGCATGAAAAGAATGTGTAAATGAAATTTTCTACGAACAGCATGTGTCACTGTCAAAATTCCTCATAATTTTGGTTTTTACGTTTTTCTGCAAAAACGCATATTATTGCATTTCACCTTTTCCCCTGTATGCGAGAAAACGCTAAAAAACGGTCAAGCTTCTACGTTTAAACTGCTACGCAGGAGCCATTCATGGTGATAACAGTCTGACTGCAGCAAGTTTATTTCACAAACGCATGATTGCACTGGCAAGCCTAATGAACTGCAGCCTGGTTTCGACAAAATCCTGGCGCATGCCATTGCGTTACTTTGTTCTAATCTTACAAATCACACAGGGTATCAAATATTACGTGAATGGAAAAGAAAAAGGTATTCTTTCGAGAAAAGATATACGTGAACTGCACGATTATCATCGGCGTGTCTTTTGGCAGCACGTAGTGAACCAGCTAGTGCAAAAGGTAATAAATTTTCTTGCTCATGCAAATTTCAGTAACAAAAGGTAATAAGTGCTTTTAAGGTAAGGAGTGAAACACAGACTGCTTCTTTCATATAGCTGTTCTAATGAATGTATATCGTTTCGCTGCCCCTGATCCATACATTTGAAGAAAAACCTGGACTGGGGAATTAAGAGAAAGCCTTGTAGGAAAAGCCTGGATTAGGAAAAAACTGTTTGTTTACATGATTTTGCTGTTTGTTTACACTATACTGCTACTATCATCATTATTATCACTGTTACCATTATTATTGTTAGCGTTACTGTCAATATCATTGCTCTTATTGCTATCATCATTCTTATTATTAATTATTTTTTGTTATTAATGCCGCTATTATAATTGTTCTCATCTTAACTCCCACAGCTCATGATTTCTCTAATGTACTCTACTAAACATTTTGCAGATGATGAACACATCATCGACGTTTAACGATTACTACAAGAGAACAACACCGCGTGTATCATTCACCTTTAAAACCTCATCGAATATTCCGAGTAAAATTGTCACCGATCCACCGGAATTGTTCAATGCGAACAGTACATTTCAGGGCGTGCCAAAATTGCCAACATTTTGCACTGTGTGATCAGAAAAAACAGACTGGAAATGTTCTGTACAATTGTTTTTATTGGTAAACAGTTAAATCATCACTTGAGAAAACATTTGTAATACACTTCTAGTGCCACACAGCATTCTCAGAAAATTTTTGCTTTTGTATTTGTCTGATTGTCGGACTGATGGCAGTGTTGAAATTTGAATAATTGACGTATTCGTACGCGAAGGGCACATATTTAAGCAAAAACTCATTTTATGCCTTGCAGGCCCACACATGGGCAGCAAACATCCCTACAAAACTTCGGCATCTTCCTCACTCTGGTTGCAGAGTTAAACTAGGCGCCAGCAATATCTTAAATCGACATTTTCACTTGCGTGTCTCAAAGCTAAAATTTAGAATTTTTAGGTCGCACGTGAACATGGAACATTTTCATAAAATCTGGCCTTCTAGCTTGACTGGTTTTCGAAACTGCTAGGAATTTTCAAGTGATACAGGCATACGCGAAAACTCATTTTGAGTACACTTGCGAACTCGTACATGGGAAACACACATACTCCTAAAATTACTGTCTCCTGTTTGTGTGGTCGTGAGTTGGCATTATGTCAACAGTGGTTCAAACAGAATTTTGACATGTCTGTATGCGTGGTTTAGACGAGTGTATTAACTGAAAGCGCAAAGCAGTGAAAATCTTTTAAAAGGCAGTCGTTCGTTGAGCGAAATTGTACAAAACGCGTGATCATGCCGGCTATTCTGGTCCACGCTATTATTGGACTCTAGAATTTCACAGGAAATAATACTACGAAGTGGCTTTATCAGCTTGCTAGAACACACATTTTGTAGTAAGCGCTGCACTGCTTGCATCAAATTAAAGTTACCTGGATATCCTATTGGTTGTATCTTAACTCTGAAAGCTCCCGGTCGATAACACGCTCTACCTCGGTGCCTGAGCTGTGCAAAGAACTCAAGTAAATCTCATACAAATTTGCTTGTTGCACTCTTACTTGCGGAAAACAAATTCCAATGGTGCATGCCAGAGAACCGTACTTTACTCTGCTATTAAGCTGTCCTCGAAAGAGGTACAGTACTCTTAACAGCTTTGTAAGGGGACGACTTTTGCGTCTGCAGTCACTTAGGCATTTCTTAACTGCCTTTTTCTTTTTTCATAGGCAATGAATGTGAATTGTTGTTTTTGATTTTAAACTGCAAAGAGCTTTATTCAAAATTGTTACAGAGGAAGAAAACGGAACTTTCAGGCACGATATGATTATAAAAACAAGAAAATGTTTCATCATTCTAGATCCCTACAGCTATATTTTCGAACCGTTGATACGATCGCCAGCCCCATGATCAGTATCACTCTAATGATTAATATTATTTTCGTCAGCATCGTCAATTCCATCGTTTCTGTCATTTCCGTCATTACCAGCACCATTTCCATTATTTTCCTGATCACTGTTGTTTTCATCATCACCACCACCATTTCCATTATTTCCACCATCCCAGGGGTTCGAAAAAGTATATGTAAGAGTATCCGGCAAACGGTTTACATCACGAAATACGGTAAAATCATTAACTGTAAACAATTGGCCAGTAACGCGATGGCGTAAAAAAGTCGACAAAGACCTGGTGAGGTATATGGCAGAGCTATTAAGATGTTGTATGCATCCACAAAACGACTGTGAGGGCTGAAATCCA